ATAAATTTTATAGCAGTTCACATAAATAAAGGCAGGATCGCTTAAAAAAAAAAAAAAAAAAAAATATAATATCTCTATACTTTCATTTAACATAGTACTATTTTCATTTAATGGTCGTTTAGATATTGGATATTGATATTTAGTTTTATCAAAAGAAGGAACATTTGGTGGAGTTTTTTCATCAACACCTGGCATTTTAGTAGACTTAATTTAAAAGAAATTTTCATAAATATATATAGCAATATATACGTATATCAATATAATAATATAGTATAATTATAATTATTAAAGTATTATGATTGCACGAGCCTATAATGTTATAACATTATTGTCTAATTTTAAATGTCAGCCATCTTCAGAAATTAAACAGCCTTGAACGTGTATATTACAAGTTGGAAGATTTTCATAGATTCTTTTTTTAACATCATCTAATATATTAATCATATCCGGTTCAGTTTCAAGTGTCTACATAGCAATAAATAATTGTAAGTAATATAAATATCAATATTCTTAATAAATAAATATATACTGTAATAGTAAATAAGCTTACATGAATTCTTTTATTTGCTTTATTAGATTTATGATAAACACATAGTTGAATATTTTTTTTATATTTTATTCTAGCTACAAATGCAGTAATGGCTCTATTAGCTTTTAAGTCATAATGATCAGCCTTAAACGTATTTGAAATTTTATAACAAATATGGCCTAGTTCAATTTTTCTTCATTGTTCAGAAAATACGCGAGATAAAATCTCTTCTTCAATATTTCCAAAATTCTTAATATTATTAAGATCATACGGAATTGCTAATGCCCCATCCAGTTTTCTATATGGTTTTTCAAACTGATCATAACATACTAATGTAATAAATACTAAAAGTATTATACGTTATATAATTATTAGTTATACAAAAAAATATGCTAAATAAATATTTTGGAGATCATACTTGTATTAGGCTCCTTTTCATTTTCTAATTCAGGATCTTTCATATTACTAACTTCTAATTCAGGATCTTTCGAATTATCACTGTTACCAATTTCTGATTTAGGTTTTTTCTTTTTAATTCCTGCTATCACTTCAGGTAAATTGGGTAGTTCTAAGCAGTCTGTATCGAATAAACAATCCAAAAGATCTTTTGTTAAATCCATTGTTTCGATACTCTCATTACTTTCAATGACTTTGCACTGATTCTCTTTTTGAAATTATTAGTATTAATAAATGATTCAATATTATTAAGGTAATATGAAAATATAAAATTTACTTTGATTTCATTTATTATAATTTTTCATGCATTTTTGACAGATATTAATGATATCTTGGTCGCTTGGAATTCTAACCTAAGATTTATTTTTAAACCAGGTAACAAATTCATATTCATATTTGACTTTTTTAATAGCGGCACCTGTTCGTGTAATATATTTGTTATAAAAGCTTAATTTATATTCAGATTCTTTTTTACATTTCTTATTAAGGTTTGTTGGTTGACAAGAGCAGTCTTTTCCATAAATTTTCATACAAATTAGGCACACCAAACATGTTGGACAAGCATTTGAATGAAAATTTAAAGAAGTTGACATTGTTGTTATAGCGATCATAAAAGTAAAGTTATCATTATGATACAAAAATAGTTTTTATTTAATTTTTATTATTATACAGATCATGCCGAAATCAATAACTTAACCGGATTGGCTGAAAAATCATTTGGCCAATTTTTATCAGGTGTTCCAAAAATTATGAAAGTAGCAGTAAATTTGAATTTTAATTTTAAACTGTTGCAAATCTGATTTTTATCTGGATATAGTAATAATAACAATACAGCAATAATTCATAAATTAGATTAATTGTTAATATCAAATATCATACGTACGTGCATTCACGCACATCTACTGCAACACCCAAGCCTCAATAATAATTTTTCTACCTTTAGTAATATAATATCTTGGGCTGAAGCGAGCCTTTCTTAAAATGTTTAGACTCAAATTATGTTTATCGATAAATTGATAAAAGAAGTAATTTAATCAAAGACCAATTTTATTTCGTAACATATTTAGCCTATGATTATATATTGTATATTTTCACATGCTTCATATTTTAACAGTTCTCGAAACCAATGGGGATATAGCTTGGAGAAAAAATAAAGTTACGAATAACACAAATAAAAGCCTAAATTCGTGAGGTTTTTTTTTTTTAAGCTTAATCGCCATATGAAAATGATAAATTCTAAAATTCTAAATGTTCAATCTCAAAACTATGAAATTCCAAAGTGGTATATTAATTAA